ATGGAGTTTTGGCAAACTGAAAACTGGCTTTAAAAGTTGTACGTGACACGTATGAGGAAAACTGCCAAATGCTTTAATGAAAGATATGAAAACAAGCGAACACTTAAAAATAACCATTGGCCACATGATGTCTGCTTTTGGACTAATTGCTTAGTTTCACAGATTTTATCCTATACTTTGACTCCAAGTGCTAGTCCACAGTGCATTATTGCCCATTTGTTCTACTTATCTCAGTAATAAATAGAAACGCAAACTAGATTATGTCAGCCTGATAGCATAGAAAATCAAACTTGCCAACATGTGGATAGCATTGCGAAAGGGTTATTTTAATCCAAGCAATTAGCTTTTCTAATATTGTGGTGCTTTATAAAACAGCATGTGAAAATTTGAGTCTTATTGAAGCTTAACAGACTCAACTCCTGTCTAACCACTGCCACCGCCTCATGTTAACATTTATTCATGCATTTATTCCACCTCTTTTAGGCGGAAACATCCCCCACCTTTTTTGTGCACATTAACTATAAAATTTGGTGATAATGAACCTGCTACTTTGTGGGTGCTGTTTTCATCCACAATTTGTGAATCAACAGTGGATTTTAAATCAAACAACTGATATGTGATTGAAGTGTTAGACTTTCAACTTTAATTCAATGGGTTTCACAGAGATTTTGTGGTAACTGTTTAGGAATAGCTACCATTTCCCCCATTTTCAGAGGCTCAAAGTAATTTTTGTAAAATCCCTTGAATTAAGGCTGAAAGGCTACACTTCAATCACATGCTGATTTAAAGTCCACTGCAGTGGTGCATAAAAATTGTCTTTGCCCAACAGGTTGTGGATGTAACTGTACGGGAGTGACATTGACTCATAATGGCCCTTTACTGGACTGATAACATTTGAAACTGGAGTCCTGGTCCATTCGAACTAGCAGAGCCATGATCCTGTCTGCAGGTTCATATCAACAAATGCTCCATCATATCTTCCCTCCATATCAGACAAACCAAAAAACAAAAACATCTGCCAGTCAAGGCAGATGGCTGCTCCTCCGTAAGCCTGGTTCTGCCAGAGGTTTCTTCCTGTTAAAGGGAGTTTTTCCTTTCCACTGTCACCAAGTGCTTGTTCATACAAGGTTGTGTGATTGTTGGGGTTTCCTTTTTTTTATTATCAGGTCTTAAGGTGACTGTTTTTGTTATTTGTTGTTTCAATAAAACTGAACTGACTTCTACTTTCTAAAGTCTTGTATTCACACATAAAATGCACAGTGTAAGAAGATCCTGACTTATCTTCAGATAAATCCCAGGACCAATTCTTAAGGTTACCACACAACTCAGTTACTTTAAGAAATATAACATGTGGGAACATTGTGCTTCATTCCTTTATGTAGTGTCCACCATGAGCCTGTGAAACCGTAACTAATGAGCTATAGTCAGGCTTTGGCAACTTGGGAAAGGTTAAGGGGACAAATAAGATTCAGAGCAGTGATTCTGTTCAACAAGCTGAAGATGAAGCCGGATGAGATTTCCATGTGAGCATTTTTTTTCTCTGAAATGCAGAATAATGAAATTACTTTTTTTTTTTTTTTTAAGGAAAAAAAGGACCGTGCCAGGATTCGCCATTCACTGTGAAATATTACATCGCTAAGTCATTTGTTCAGATGATTCTTCGGGTTAACCACAGGGAGCACAATTTTCCATTTTTCATCTCTGCCTCACGCTGCCTTCTATTGTTCTTTTTGGTTATCTCCTGCTTTCATCAGCAGTATGGTGCTTCCAAGCAAAAGCCTTTAATATGTTCAGCAGCAATTTTCCTGTTAATATTTTTCATTATTTAAATCAACTGTGATATTCTGTTCAATAATAACCTTAAAGCTTGCTGCATATAAACATCATGTGGGTTTTTGTGAAGAAGTCAATATTAGATACCAAGAATATCATGGTAATGATTAGCAGGGTATGTTAAACCCTGATATAGCCTGTTAAAAATGTAAAAATAGGATATAGAGTGGGTATTGTACTATATTTTCTTTACATCTAATATAACTAAAGTATGTCAGTCAAAACTGAACTGAACTGGTCCACACAGCTGAGGAAAATATGCTGCCTTACACACAAATATACATGACAATAATTAAACCTTATACGGTGCACATGTCAGGTACACGCACGCACACACACACAC